GCATACAGTACAAATGATTGTAGTTGTAGTTGTGTTTTCAGTTAAGCATGGCTTCAATGACATGGCTTATACTGAACATTAATTACCAGGAGCAATTACTCTGGCAGTCAAAAGGCCTCAGCCAAGGCTCATTAAGTGCTTTTATTCCCCGGGGTGAACAGTATACCCCTCCATAAAGACAGCCCTGCCTGGATACGCAACACACACTATGTGCTTCATGCGAATACTGGTGTTTGGCATGATATCACAAAAAAAAAAAAAAAAAGGAAAAGAAAAATTGGATCAATCAGTGTGAGGAACACTGAGCTGTTGCTGGAAATTCAGTTTTGAGCCAGTGTAAAAAATAAAACAAAACAGGGATGACACAAGACGCAGAGGTTGCCTCCAAGTTCTTGTTGTGGAATTCACACTATAATCCTGTGTGGCTGCTCATTAGCTAAACAGAGTGGGGTGATTTCGATCTGGGAAGAGATATATATCTGGAGTTTCTCTGCTTGTGCCGCCAAATTTTCTGAAACTGAAGGAGACACAGGAGGAGAAGTTGCCCCCCCACCCACCACCACCCCCACCCACACCCCCACACATACACATACACATACACATCTACCCACTCCCCCCTGCTCCTTTTCGCTGGTAAAACTCAACAGCTGTAAAATTGCAGCAGGGTGCCAGGGGAACAAGGAACAATAAGCTCACCAGAAACAGCAGTAATTGGAAGAGGAAGATTTGAATGCGAGCGCAACGTCTGCTTTTCATTAAGATTGTTTCGCTAGGTAAATATTGTTGCTAGACAATCTATTTCTCCAAGTCAACTCCTTTTCCTGGATGATCATTTAGTTAGTGGCGACAGTGGTTTTCGTTTTCTTATCATTAACATGTTTTCCTTGGAACGGAGTCAGGTTCAAATGAAGATAATTCAGCAGAAAAGAGAAAACACATTTTTAAAAACATCCTTCCCTTTGTTATGGTTTTTATGCTGATGAGGGCTGGCAGATGAGGTAACAGAACGGACAGTGAGGACAGGCGTTGTTTTTAGATCGTTTGAATGATTTCATGTCATAGACAGGCCTGGCTCTCTCGTGTGCGCAAATCACTGGAGCAAACTGGAAGTGTGACAGAACACAGGCTCCAGGTTTAATTACTCTGAGAGTTCACGTGGCACCTCAACCGTAAGCTTTGGGCCCAAGTGGACACACACCCTTGCCTGACATAGGTCCACTATCTGCCAAGGCTTACATAAAAAAGACCCACACCCTCTGGCAGATGACGTGAATCAAACTGCAACATCACAACCGGTCAATAGCTGAGGGCCATGAGAAAGAGTGGCCATATTCTGTCCATGTATATGTTGGCAGGGTTGATGCTGTCTGAGAAACAAAGCTTTGTACATTTGTATGCAGGGAGATATAGATGCTGAATTCTACTCTCTGTGAAGCATGCCTCTGTGGCCTTTTTTAAAAGGTTCAGTTACAACATTTTTTCACACTTTCTCTGACAGAATACAGGAGCCTGTTTGTTCTTCGATCTCCTCAATCATCGCATATCGATGGCTTTGCTCATGTGCACACACAAACACATGCACACTAACTCTCTAATCTCCCAATCCAACCACAAGCAAATTTCTTGGTTTAATGTGGTATATTCTAACAGCAAATGTCACAGGTCCTGAGGCCCTGACATAACAACAGAAACATTCATCATACACGACAAGCTGAAATGAGCGAGCTGATATAAAGCTTGGGTTTTCCCCAAAAAATCTTGAGAGAAAGAGAGACAGCGAGAGAGAGCTTATAACATTCTCCAAGAGGCATTGAATGACATCATCCAACCCTGCAGTCCATGCCCATTTCAGTGCTACATATTTGCATGACTGCATAACTACTGACTGACAGCCATGGGAAATGGGAGCATAAACTAAATTTGTGTTTGTGAGAGGGAGAGTCGGGCTGATTGGCCTGCTTATGTATGACAAGGATGTTTGCTCTGATAAACACACAGTCAAACACATCCACAAATCAAGTGCGCCAAGGGCTGTCATCCTGTCTCACTTGCATCCTGCTTGCCATCAGCTCCTCCATTCTCTTGCTCTTGTTTGTCTGAATCAGTTTTTCTACACTACAAATCTAAACTAAGATGTTCTTCAGCTGCAGATGCTATCAGCTAAGCTGCGGACAGGCACAACCAGAATTATTCACACTTTTTGGTGATTTGCTGCAGCCATCTAATACTTAATGCATTGTATACTATACGACCACATAAATATACCTGTTTACGAGTAAGTGGTGAGTCCATTATACAGTAGAAGTTCATACTACAAAGCCTGTTTAAAACATAGACTGTAAATAAAGATGGACGTAGCCTCTGTGATGTCACCCATTGGTTTCTGAAGAGAAGTTTTGAAGCTAAGAGTGGGCTGCTCCGCTGTTGCCATCTTGGCAGCGCCTGACTCCAGCTAAGTGGCTAATCCAAAAATGGGCAAAGAGGCTGGGCGTGTGTGGAGCTAAGACTTCGGTGCATGCTAGTTTGTGGCTTGCATGACCTGTCACTCAAAGCGGCACGCCCTTAATTATGCATAACTTTAAGCTTTAATAAAAATTAAATGGGTGAGTTATATAAAAAATTAACCCCCCTGTACAGCTGTCATGAAGGGGGAAATTAGCTGTAGAGCCCAAAACCATATTTTGTAACAGGCTGTGTGCATATTTCTGCTGCAAAGTTGCAAATTTTAACATGGGAGGCTAAGGGGATTGTCTTGCTTCTGGAGCCAGCCTCAAGTGGTCATTCAAAGAACTGCAGTTTTTAACCTCCTAATCCACAGCGGTTCCACACTTAGAATAAGACACAACAACATGACATGAGCTGTGCTGTGGCATGGCTCTGTGTTTATCAGGATAGAGTGACTCAACAGAGTCTTCTTTATTTGATCAAGACAGTCATAATGGAGCATGAAACATTAAAATTGTCTGTGTCTTTGCCAGAGAATATTGACGTCATCAGAGTGAGACCTCCGACCCATATACCGCTGCGACCACATAGTCCTATATTATGAGAAGAGTCAATGAGGAGACAGAGTGTCTCTTGTGACTTGGCTGGTCGTGCAAAATGTACCAAAACAAAAACAGAAATAGCCACAGAAGAGCTGGTGGGATGTAGATGCAAGAAATCATTACATACATACTATTTCACTGACAGTGTTTTTTTCAGAGCCAAATGTGCCCATCCCCCTGCAAATATAGACTGCAATGCTACACAAATGTCAACAATGTTGCAGGACCGTGTGATCAGAGGACTGCTGTTGGATGTGGTAAAGAACTGAGGATGGGTCAGCAGACTTGAGACAACACCCCTGTGATATTTTTAAAGTAGAAATCAGAAGCTGTTTGCTAAAAACCTATAACAGGGGCTCCAATGAAAGATCCTATTTAAAACAGGACTGTTTGTTCATATTTAAAACGTGAAATCTCAGTGGGACTCCGACATCAAAGATAGATTATGCCTGGTAGGCAATATGCAAATGTGACAAAAGGCAATATGGGCATGGTTGTAATAATATAATAATTGGAAATAGCTTAAAACAAAGTCTTAATTATAGAGCTAATAAGATAGTAGAATAGTTGTTTTGAAAGCAACAACAGTAATAAACAAAAAAATATATAAAATACACGACTGATTATTAGATGTGTCTTAAATTGCTGTGCCTGTATCGAGGCTTTAATTTGTTGGAGGGGAGTGCCGGGAGTAATTAGATTTCCATGTAAATCTAATTACCATCTGTTAAGCTGCTGATGCAGATGGTATGTGGTGTGCCTTTTTATTGTGCGAACTACGAACATGTTCCGCCATCTCATGATCTTTTTCCCTTTTAAAGTAAACCCTTGGTTATTTTCATCAGTCTGGAGTACTCCTCCTAGTCCTCCCAAGGTCACTCCTAACATTTACCGCCCCCCCTCCGCCTCACAGCTCTGCAGAAGTCGTTATGCTGGCCTGAGCTAGGACTAGTCCTGCTTTACAACCAGCAAGGAAGAAACACCGTCCAAGCCATACATCACCCTGCAATTAGCATCAGGCCTCAGACTGATTTGATGCGGACTGCCCAGAGAGTCCACACTCATCCACATCACTCACACACACTCACACACACACACACACACACACACACACAACACATTTACTGTTTGCGGATCACTAACACAGTGGGGGGAACTATTATTGCTCTCTGTTGATGTGTTGTGTGGTCACTTTGTTATATGCAGCTCACACACACATTTACTGTTTGCAGATCACTAACACAGTTGGGGGAACTATTTTTGCTCTCTGTTGATGTGTTGTGTNACACACACACACACACACACACACACACATTTACTGTTTGCAGATCACTAACACAGTTGGGGGAACTATTTTTGCTCTCTGTTGATGTGTTGTGTGGTCACTTTGTTATATGCAGCTCACACACAGTCACATGTAGTTGAAGTGTCTCATTAGACAGTTTTATACAGAGTATCATGCAATATATGGGACCAATCTGATCCTATTTTTAAAGAAGAAATACATTCATGTGTTTTGAGACTATGTGTGTCTGTGTGTGTGGCTTTAGCCCTTTTTACAACTGTTCAAACACATATTAGCTCCACCCAGATGCACTGCAGGATGTAAAGCATAATTATTCTCAACTGCAACTTTCCACTCCTGAGCAGACCCTTTGTGTCTGCAGCCACACCACTGCTAACCACTCCTCTTTGCATCTGTGTGCACCCTCATGGCAGAACACATCGTAGTACACCCCGACCCCCCCAACTAGTGTGTAAGAAGTCACTGCTGATGTGCACATAATGCATTATGTGAAACTGAATTTTCTCCACTACAATGCTAGACGCCTTTTGATCAAAAACACTGGAACAAAAAAAAAAAAAAAACTTTTTGTAGAGAATATAATAATAATAGAGAGAATCAAAGTTGTAAAAGAAGATGCTATAGTTAATAAATAGAAGTGTACTCACTGCTGAGCAATAGAGTGCAGAGCACCAGAACTCCAGCCATCCGTCTCAAGAGCCCATTCATTCTCCACATGGACGCAGCCATCCTCTCTGGTCAGATTCAGCGCAGCCGGTGGGACTGTGTGTGAGAGCAAAAAAGTGCGGTGAGTGAAGGTGAGTGAGTGTGAGGGCTGGGGAGGGGGGTGGGAGTTAGGTGTTTCCTGTGAGGTCTGAGTGAGCGGGACAGACAAGCAGGATAAAGCCTGGCTTGTGTTCCGTTGCTCTTTATATGGCCCCACTCCTTCAGCCTCTCTCGCTGCTCTTTCCACACCCCTTTTCTAACTGCCTGCTGTTAACCCGTTTCCCCCAAAGCAACGGCCCCGGCTTCCTCCCTTTCCTTGTGTGCGTACACATGAGCAGCAAGCACCAGGATGAGAAAATGAGATGTTAGTGGTTGGAACAAGGCATCTGGTTGAGCCTTATCTTTGTTGTACGTTTGTTTCCTGGTGAAAAAAGTTGGCCATCTTTCATAGAAGTTTGCACAGTTTGGGCACAAGTGGCACATCTGCTTCTGCAGTGTGGGGGGCTGTGGGTGCACAACAGGAAAGTTTCATGTGATGTTCTAGCAGACGAGGTACAAATATAAGCCATTTGCACTGGTTTGTCTTTGAAAAGAAAGTACAATGGCTCAATAGAATCACAGAATCAGTATTCCCATGAGAATATGAGAATATAAAGTTGAAATAAAACAAAGCTAGATATCTAAAACAACACAACTTCAGCTCGAGGATTTGTAGAAAGGTGTTAAAGATGTTAAGTGGGTCCTATTTTTGAAGATGCACCTGGTAAACAGGAAGCACTCTTCCTGCCTCCTACATGTTGTGTACATAGCTTAGAGGCCTGTAAAAGCACATGGCGTCACACACAACGCTTGGCCGTAGTTTTTGTGTGTCCCTGGACAAATGACTAACAGCCTGTAGTGAGTCATCCACTGAACCACACAAGCACACATGCACGTTTGCATGTACTGTACACGCCTTTTTCAAATGCTCTAACACACACACACACACACACACACACACACACACTTACATCATAGACAAAACACACATGCTATTTCGTAATCGCACCACATCAGCAGAAAGTGACAAACTGTTGCACTGATGTGTGGTGTGTTGTAACAGTGTGATGTTGGGTGTTCACCGTTCATGAGAGATGTGCCGTTCCAGACGTCCAGGCAGGCCACATCTGGAAGCACTGCAGTCCCACCGCTGGGTTTTTGAGGACTGCCTGGAGGTTTGCTTGTCAAACAGTTCAACCATATGAGACTGAACCAAGCCAAGATCAGGCTGGTGTCTGGGGCGGCTGCTCCTGCTGGTCACCTTGTATGTTTCAGTTCAGATCTGCTGAGGGCCACTTGAAATCCCATTGACGTTTAATGAAACTGACACTGTGGGTTTGAAGTATACGTTTTGAATAAAGTAAGTTTTGACAATTAAGTAAACTTAGCTGTGGTTTAAAACGTTTCTTACACTGTTAAAACTATCTCCAGCTTTATTTCTGAAGAAGTTGAAACAGGCGTGAAGAAAGCTGATATAATAATATTCAAACTAGGCCTGGTGGGAATCAAATCCAACTGCCTGTCTCTAATAATTTTCTCTCATTATCACACCATTAGAAAATCATTATGAAATGGTGAGACAGAGTCAAATAAAATCTGCCAAAAAAAAAAAACCCTGTCCAAATACAAATAAATGAATATAATGTAATTCAACATGGTGGCACTTGATGCAGTAAAATCCTCATTAAAAGTAATAGGCCACTAAGCTGGACAGAATAATATGTGCATATATTCACTATGATTTCACACAGTCTGGAAAACCGATTAATAACCATTACACAGCACTATAAACTCCGTAATTAACTCCTCTGCTTTCTCCTCTACAAATCCCACCACAATCCTTCCTGCTTTCAATATATTATAATCCTGATTTATTATATTATTTCTAATTATTTTGTAGCCACATGCAGTCCTGACTTGTTTTAAACATGCTATAGTTCAGCCACTCCTTAAGAAGCCTGGTCTTGCCTGGCTATTTCATATAATTATAGGTCAATTTCTAAGTTTTCTTTCTTTTTATAGATTTTAGAAAATGTCATTTTGAATCGGTGTGTCCTCTTGAAACAAAAGCAATATGTTTGAGAAATTCAAGTCTGGGTCCTGTGAACACCACAGCATACAGACAGCTCTCCTAAGAGTGACAAATGACCTCCTCTGTGCTGCTCTATCTCAATTCTTCAAGATCTCAGTGCAGGTTTTGAAACTGTAAATTACATGATGCTCCTGGAGTGCTCAGTCGGCATTTCAGGGCCCGCCCTTGATTGGTTCCATTCTTACATTTCAGACAGATGCTTCACTGTTTCCATTGGCAGCTCATCCCTCCGCACCTGCAAATATTTCACGTGGGGTTCCACAGGGTTCAGTTTTAGGTCCACTTCTTTTCTGTCTTTACATGCTACCACTGGGAAGAAGAATCAAACTCATAACATCTCTTTTCACTGCTACACAGATGATACTCAGATCTGACTCCCCCTCAATTCCCAACATATGTCTCCAACATATTAAAGACTGGTTGGTTCATAATTACCTTCAGTTAAAAAGAGGACAAGATAGAAATTCTACTCCATTCTAAAGATTTTAACACTGTTACTGCCCAGATCCTTACTCACCTTTCTGCCTCCATCAGGCCACATGCTAAGAACCTGGCTCTTATATCTGAGGGGGATCTAAGTTTCAACAGGTAGGTAAATTCTGTTGTCAGGTCTAGCTTCTTCCACCTTAGAACCATCTCCAAAATGAGGCATTTCGTATCACCCAGGCTGGACTACTACCCTACACATCTCAAGCTATCCATCTTCTGTTTACAACGAATTCAAAAAACTGCTTCCCGGTTATTAACAAAGAAACAAGACCACATCACCCCTATCCGTGCATCCTTACACTGGCTCCCTGTTCATTTCAGGATAAACCTTAAAATTCTTCTAATTGTCTAGAAATCTCTCAATGGTCTCACCCAAACATTTATCTCAGAACCTCTCACTCCTTACAGCAGCAAAAGACTACTCAGATTCTCCCACCGTGGCATGTTGGCTGTGCAGTGTTCATGGAAAGACAAGGCAAGTGACAGGGTTTTATCTGTAGCGGCTCCTTGGCTCTGAAGCCAGAGGCCACAGACAGTCTGCTGATGCTTCAGACCTTAAGACTCACTTTTATTCTCTGATTTTTAAACTGTGTTTAACATGTTTATTTTCATCTGATTCCTTGACTCTTCCTCAAACATCTGTTTTGCATATACATCTTTACACTTGTAAATGTATATATATATACAGTATGTTTGTCTTTCTGAAGCACTTTGGTGCAGAACCTGTTTGCTTTTTGAAGTGTTATATAAATGAAATACACTTAAAACCTAACTTTTTCAGATGACATCTAATCTAACTTCTCTCCTGGTGTGATTTACTTGTGGATGATTATCTTTGCATAGTATGGTTAACACTTATTTGAATGTGAAGCATGTGTCTGTTTACAGCTGAAGAATCCTGATTAGCTAAGTCTGACAGGGGGGTATTTCTGTGGGATATTGCTTATATCTCTTTTTTGCCTCTCCCTCCCCATTTCTTTTAGTTACCCTCCCTATCTTACCATTTGACTTATTTTGGTTTACATGCACAAAGAATCTCTGTGCAGTGACGGGTGGGGGGGTGGGGGTGGGGGGTATTGCCAGGACATCACGAGGATCAGCACATGGCAGCGCAGAATCTGACCCTCAGGGACCCATTTGGTTTTTGTTTTTTTTCCCTTGAGGAGTTTTTGCTGTTTTTGGAGTCTTTGAGCCAGCTGGATGCAGCCATCATAGGAGCATGACTGACATGTGACTGCACAGACTAACAGGCAGAAATATGGGGATAATATTGGTGACATTCAAAGCTCCACATTTTCATAAAATGCATGAATTCAAGAGCACTGCAAGAGTTGTTGCTGGTCCCAGTAATAGTTCTGCTGGTGGCCTTAGTTTCCCTCTTCTGTCTCTCTGCCCAATGTGCTCCTTTATTCTGTATCCTTCTTCTGTGCTGTGGCATGTCATAAAATATGCAGAATAATAAGGGATTGCTTTTCCTATAAAATGCATTAAAATAATATGTGTTTTGTAAACCCTTCATTCATCTGTAGTCATTCTGCTTTGAATTTAAAACGCCTGTTTGCAACCAAAGCTTTCTTTCATTCTTCGCTTTGCTAACGTAGTTAATTCTTCATTGTTTTTAACTGACAATTAAGAGGAAGCTCATGAGAATGTAATGACATTATGCCAGTGAGGTCATCTGGGCATCTCTTCCACTATAATTACATCAGTTTCTTAAGATAAAAATGTCAATAAACATTCCTTGAAGTTGAGAGGCTTTCCTGCTTTCCTTTTCATTGATGGGATGCGGGTGTAGAACAGGAATCTAAGTGCAGAGGGACTCTGCTGGAGGGGACATCAGCGATGATTTGACCAATAGAGTAGAGGAAATGATGCCATACCCTCATCTCTGCTTGATGACACTGCTGTTGCTTCTCCATTCAGTCTGATGGGCTCTTCTCCTCCCACATCATCCTGTTGACCTACCCATCTATCACCACTCCTGCATCTAAATTCCTCCTCTGTTTCCTGCCATTCACCTTGTGCATGATGTTTCCTAACAGCCGGGCATCCACCATAACCCTGGTATGCAGAAGTGTACAGACAGACCCGGTGATGACCCCCAAACCCATGAAAGATAAACATGGAAATGTATTTATACTCATTCTTAACACTGTAGCTCGTGCTAATTTGATGCCCTACCGTGTTACATAAGACCGTGTGAAACAGGACTTGGCCGAGCGTTTCCTTATCATAATGGCGGGACAGCACCAGAGTCCACTTTCTCACCAAGGGAGCTGTGTGGAAAGAGAAACACAGGAAAACATAATGGAAGCAGCAATATGGTGTAACACAGCAGTCAGACCTCTAGCAGATTACTCTGGGGAGTTGATCAATGAGAAGAGCATACCCAACACTCTCAGGTCTTGGGGAACTCAAATGTGAGAACAATGGAGATATACCATATTGAGAGGAAATCTAATGGTCCCAGGTTCAGTTAGAGTAAAGAACCTGATCCCACTTCACCAACAAACCTGCAGCGCGTAAAGACAGCTTTCAGACATGATGTCACAAAACGTT